ACACCCTACTCTGTTTTTCCGGAGGAAGCCTGGTAGCGGGGTTGCAGGAGGAACTGACACCCAGGGCTGCTTTTGGGGGGCCGGGGGCTTATCTGCGACCAGGGTCCCACTGCAGCCGAGCAGAGCGGGCTCTGCCTGCCCAGCTGGGCTGGGAAACCGTGCCGTGCTGTGCGGGTTTCCTCTGTTCACTCTGGTGATGCCCTTCCCTCCCAGCTGCCCCTGAAGCTGGTCAGGTAGCTGAGCACCTCTGCGTCCCTCCTGCCTCGCCATTGTCCCCTTCCTTCCTCCCTCCCCAGGGCTCTGCTGTGCAGGAACTGGGGTGTGCTCTGGTCCCAGGGCAGCCCTTGCCTTTTTCCTCGCTGATGCTGCCACAGCAAATCCCACCCCCCTGCATCCCGGGGCATGAGAATGAGGTGGCTGAGCAGCTGCTGTCCCTGGCTTGCTGGTCTCCATGAGGTCACATCATCTCCCTCCTGGACCCTGCTCTGCAGCCTGAATCCAGGCTTGGAGCTTCCTTGACTGGTGGTGTGAAGAGGACCAAAGACCTCCAGCCCTGTTACTGCTGGGCAGAGCCTTCCCATCCCGAGGGTGGATGAGGAGAAGGGTGTTGCCTTGGGATAGTGTGCTGCTGGGGAAAAGGGAAGGTGCTGGCAGAGTTTATCACCTGTGGGAAGTGAGGGAGCTGCCCTTTTGTCAGTGTGAGAGCAGGTGGGTGCACCAGGAGCACTTCTACCTGCTCCCATGGCCAAAGCTGTGCCTCTGCCTCGGTGTGTTGGCTGCCTCCCTGGGACCCTTTTCTCTTCCCAGGCTAGATCAGTCCCTCTACTCTCTGCCTGGCTTCAGGAGGACATTTCTGATGTTCCTGGGCCCAGCTGGGCTCTCGAGGGTGGGAACTGCTGCTGTGAATGGTGTGAGCAGGGCTGGTCACCAGTCTCCAGTGGGGCAGAGGTGACATACCTGCATGGCCTCACTGAAATCAGGGGGCTGCAGGGGCCCGTGGGAGCCCTCAGGGTCAGCCCTGTGCTGGGGGGCACTGGTCCTGTCTCTGGGCTCCTGGTGTCCCTAGGGGAAAAGGAATCCCAAGTGCTGCTTGCTCCATGAGCAAGTTTGCAGGGCTGGAGGGAATCCCAGCAGAAACCAGGTCCTCGGCTGCCCTGGGCTCAGCAGGCTGCAGGAGATGCTCCGTGACACAGCCCAGGACCAGACCTGGGAGCACGGAGAGGGAGCGCCGGGAGCCTTCGCCTTCTGTTCCGGGGAAAATTTTTTCTGCCCTCCCACTTCCTCCGCTGAGATCCACCAACCATAGCATTTACGGGCTTTTTGGCTCCAGCCATATTGGGCTCTGGAAATAAACCGCTCCAATGTTGTATGTCACCTGCACATAACCCGGGCGTTCGAAAAACCCCAACTACCACCACCACACCAACACCAGGTCCTCTCCACACACACACCTCCTCCAAAATGAGCCTGGAAGCCTGGCTCCCGCAGCCCACCCTGCTCCTCACTGGCCTCAGCTTGCTGCTCTCGCTGGGTAAGTGTCACCTGGACCCTTTGCATGTGCTCGGCTGCCCAGGGGAGAGTGGTCAGGCTGGGCAGAAACTGGCCAGCAGCCCCCTCCCCACATCCCAGCCCGAGAGCCCCTCCTGACCCTGGGGAAGCAGTGAGCCGGCCAGGGATGCTGTGCCGCAGGGACAGGGATGCTGTGCTGCAGGGATAGGGATGCTCCCAAACACGCCCTGCTGAAATCCACCAGCCAGGGTGACCTGCTCTGAGGCAGGATGGGGGGTACGTTCCCACTGCATCTTCTCTTTAAAAAGCCTGGCTTCCTGCTTGCTGGAGGTTTTGTCAAAGCCAAGGCTGTTTGCCTGCCAGGCAGGGTTGCAGGCGGCAGCGGGGAGAGGGGACAGTTCTGGCTCTGCGTTGCCGGGAAGGTGGTGGCCGGTGGGCTGCGGGTACCTTGCGACTGTCCTTTGCTTTGTGGCTGGGGGGGGGTTTTTTTTTGGGTGGCAAGCTGGGGGCTGGTGGTGGTGCAAGGGGTGCGGGGGAATCGTGGTCTCTGCGTTTCTGCCCTGCCCTGGAGCCAGCAGCGTGTATCAGCAGGTTTGGGTCCGTATTGATCGGGAGCAGGAACGCATCACCTCTTGGAAGTGCTGTTCACACTGTCCTGGAGCTCCTGGTGGGCTGCCTTTGCTTTAGCAGAGAGGCCAGGAAGGGGAGGATAAAAGCCCAGCGAGGTCTGCTGTAGAGCCTGCGTGTAATTTTACCTCCCGAGCTCTGGGTGCAGGGTGTAGCGTGACAGTGTTGCAGAGTGTGCGCAGCACCAAAGGATGCAGCCTGGTTGGTCGGTCCCAGGTATTTTAGCTGTTTCTTTCCCCACCTCTGTTGTCCCCCCTGTGAGGACCCTCTGGCTGCGATATGGTCCCACTGTACCAGGTGGTACCTAAGGGGGGTGGGCTGCGATGCGGCAGCAAGGCTGGTTCACCCCCTCAGACCTGGACATCCTTCCTTGGGTGCTGTGGCTCATCCCCACGCACCAGCTGTCCCCATCTCTGTGGCTCCCAGCACCTCGTGGGGAGCCCTCACTGTGGCTGCCAGTGCAAGCAGGGAACTGTCTCCAGGGGCTTGGCCATACCTGGAGGTCACCCCTCTGCCACCACAGACCTGGCTTCAGGAGCCTGGTTCACACCTCGCAGCAAGACCTGTGGCTTGAAGCAGCAACTTGGAAAAGCCTCTTTTCCCTGGCTGCAGAGCCTGGCCCCTCTCCTGCCCTGCTTGCAGACGGAGCGGATTAGCCCGCGGAGCAGCCTTGACATGCATCCAGCCTGGCCACAGGGCTGGAGTCAGGACCACCTCAGGAAGAAGACTTGAGAGCAAAGAGCAGCAGCCAAAGGGGAGAGGTGAGGTGATGGGAAAAGCACCTGCGGCCAGGGTCATTGTCCCAGCCCTGTGGGATGCCACAGACCCCTCTGCAGCCTCGTCCCAGCAGTCCTTCCAGGCTCTCCTCCCTGTGCTTCTCGGGGCTTACCCTTAGAGTTTGCACAGGATGGCTCTGCAGGAGCCTGTCTCGGCGTGCACAGCCTCTAGAAGGTGCTGGCTGCCGGCGCTGGGTTTTGGGGGCTGCTGGGGGCGGCCAGCAGACTAGGGGAGCTGCAGAAAAAGAAGTCTGGGCAGGGCACAGACACCCTGCCGCTGCCCGTGGCCCAGGTGAGCCATCCTGCCATGCGAGCTGCACCAGATAATGTCCCTGTTTCTCTGCCACGGCAAGGCCAGGGTGCAGGGACTGGCCTTGTTCCCCCCCTAGGAGTGACTGAGATCTTGACCTCATCATCCCCAGCTGGAGAATCCTTCTGTGAACTGGGGAGGGGGAGCATCTGCATTCCCCCTGCAGCCCCCGGGGGCTGGCCCTGGCAGATCCCAGCCCTGGCTGCTGTAGTACACCCTGCTGGGAATGAAATCTGATGAGCACAGCCATAAATTTCTGCGCGGACGTGGCACTGAGCCCTGCGTGCTGATGCTGCATTCAGCCCTTTGCATAGCTTCTGCAGCAGGAAAGCCTCGTGCAAGTGGCAAGGAGCAGAGCTTGCCTGGAGTCAGCAGAACTTAGCACCGGGCACGATCAGGCTGGGCATGGCAGAGAGGGGTCATCAGCCCTGGCAGAGCAGGGATAAGGGATGGTGCCAGGGCTGGGGCTGCTCCCTCTTGTCCTGTCACTGCCAGGCAGGGAAGCCCTGGTCCTGGCTGGCTGCAGCGTGGTCTGTGTGGGGATGTCCCTGCAAGGCAATCCCAGCCCCGGGGTGGGCTCTGTGCAGCCAGCTGGTGTGCAGGGTGGGATGGGGAGAGGGCTCAGCCAGTGGGGTAGATGCTTGTCCCCCTTTCTAACGCATTTGTTCTTGCTCTCTGTGTTTGTGGCAGCGCCCACGGGATTGAGCATGGAGGTCATGGCTCCCACCATCATCCATGCTTTGAATGGCTCCTCCGTGAAGCTCTCCTGCACCTTCAACTCCTGCTACAAGGTGGAGAACAAGCAGTTCTCCCTCAACTGGACATACCAGGAGTGCGGGAACTGCTCTGAGGAGCTGGTGAGTCTCAGGGAGACCCTGTCCCTGGTCACTGCGGTGGCCAGAGCTGAGCAGGGACTGTGCTGCTCATGGAGCTGAGCGGGTGGTGAGTGTGCAGTGTGGGCATGTGCCTGGGCAGGACATGCTGGGGAGGGGGATGCCTGGCTGGGGAAGGCGAGTACATGGGGTGCCTGATGTTGTCTCACTCACCTCCTCTCCCGCATGGGCTGCACAGTTCCTGCAGTTCCGGACGAAGATCATGAACAAGCAGCTGGATCGCTTTGGGAACCGGGTGGAGTTCACCGGGAATCCCACCAAGTATGATGTGTCCTTCACCCTCAAAAACGTGCAGCTGGAGGACGAGGGGACCTACAATTGCTATGTCTTGAACCCCCCGGACCGGCAGCGGGGCCATGCCAGCATCAACCTGAAGGTGCTCACCAAAGGTAAGTGGTGGAGCAGTCCCCCTCTGCTGCCAGGCACCCATGGGTGCTAGGCTGGCTCTCTGCCATGCCTTCACCCTGCATTGCATGTGCTGGGTTTGCTCTCTGGTG